TATATATATATATATATATATATATATATATATAAAAGTATATTCTCTTTTGTTGATCAATGAAATGGCAAATACTCATGTCCATGCCACCTATCATGCAAATCAATGAACACATTAAACAGGACTACAACGCACACAAACTTTCTCGAAATTAAGTCATGTTCCCTCTTCCCTACGACGTGCTTTTCATCAGTCTTCGAACATTGAGAACCTGCTTCTGGATATGTGCTAGATTTACATCTAGAACAAACTTTGCAAGTATTAAGAGTACAAAGTAAAATAAATACAAGAGTTCTGATTTTTTTGGTGTTTGGTCTGATGTAAACTAAATAGAAAATACAATGCATTTATGTGGAGAATTTAGAAAGCTCTAGAATATTTGACATGTTTGAAATTTGTTCAAATCAAATGAATTCCAATTGCATGGATTACTCACAACCTACAACCTCATCTTCCCTGCTCATGGTCAAAATGCACTTGTTCGCCGTTACCTCCGCCTACCACCATCCCCATCCCTTAGCCACCATCCACCATCTCGAGATGTCAAAAATTTGCTCATCAAAACCTGAACTCGAATCAAAAAAATCTATGTTTGGGTTGATCCGATAAATTTTTGGGTTAGGTTTGGGACAAGAATCCTACCCCATTTAATTTTTTGGTTATTTGGGATAACCCACAAATTTGAAATTGACCCATCAAATCTGATATTTTAACATAAAACTAACCAACCCGAAATTAATCTGAACTTGACCCGAAAGAATGTTATGCCCTATATTTAATGGGTTACACGGGTTGGGTTCAAGTCAAACGAGCTGAAGATAGGTAAGGTCTGGGTTAAACTTTTTGACCCGTTTTATAAATGGAAGGTTTGGGTCATGCATAATTGGGTCATGTTAAATTCGGATCAAATCCAAATCTAACCAGTTAACCTGAATTTACACCCTACCGCCACCCCTAACCATCGCCACAACACTATCTTTCATATTTCAACGCATTTGAATGTATCATAAGCAATAAAAAAAATATTTAACTATATCTGACTTTTATCGAACTAAACAATTCATGCATTTCAATTACTCTACATCTCTAAACACATATATTTTAAGAACTTCGAACCAAGAGCCCTTAAGTCAGTTATTTTTACCTCAAAAATATGATTTCAAAATCTTCTTCTCTTATTCTGCAGCAGATATTTAGGTTGACAATTAGGAAAGATAAGATGTATAACAACACTCCAGGATAATGCTTGCACCATTTGATGCCTGATAACTCTAATATGACCTATTTTTCTTCATTTGAACATGATATCATTGACTGTGTTGAATTCTTCATTGCATATTTATGTTGCTCAAGCCATAATTTACAGTTTTTGCCTAACTATTTTTGCTAAATTTCCCGGAGCATTGGTTCTAGTGGAATTAAAATAATATTAATATAATTCTAAATTATGGACTGCCTGTAATGAGTTTAATTTCATGTTAACTTTGCAACAATTTCAGTGTACTCCGAACCAGCAATTCTATTTCAAAATTAATAAAATTACAAACCTAAATTCATCTCACACCTTTAATTGCATTTTTTAATGGTAGTTATACTATCAAATTCAAAAACATTTACCGAGACAATAAGCATCGTATCATAGCATAATGTAAACTAGCCCCAAACATATTGGCAAGAACTCACATCTTTCTAAACTTATTAGGCTTTTCTGTAAAAAACCCCTTGATAGCATCAGATTTTTTTTTCACACATGTATCTTCACATTACAAAAGGAAACATGATGAAAGCAAATCACCACAGAATTTTAGTCTACTATACAGAGAACAACAGGTGATATCATGTTGCAATATAGTTTTGAAGTAAAAGTGCAATATAAAATAAGTTAGTGAATGAAAATAAAGTCATATTCAATCGCCTTATGCTATACCTTAACGGACAACGACATTATCTGCTTATAGTAAACATCAGCAGTTCCAGCAATTCCAGGGAGGCAGATAAGAGGCGGCACAGATTTCGGACCAAAGTCATAGTATCTCCACTGTTTTGATCCAATCTGCATTTAAGTGAATAGTAATCCTTAAAATCTCATTCGTCTTGAAAATTAGATATATGAAAAATCTTTCCACCCAAATAAGGTGTACCACAGTCCAAGAGACATCCACTAACTTTGGGTTAGTAGTGGGGTTAATGTGCACAGCTCCTACATTACACAGAGGAATCTCCGTCGATTTGAACATGTGATCTCCTAATTGGAATGGTGGTATTCAAAATATATTTCATAAAAGCCTAAATAAATTTCTTTTCTACCACGACATGAACTAAATATATTTAAACAACATATAGTTTTTACTCTTCAATTTAAGTAGCACTCAGAATGAATGATGATGAAGATATAGGTTTCAACTAGAACTAAATATATTTAAACAACTAACTCTGCCTAACGTTCAGCTGTTGTATCCTCAAAAATTTGCATTTCATATATTACATTGTAGTAAAGGTGGATAGTGGGGAGAATACACAACTCTTAGGGCTTGTTTGGGACCTTTTTTTATACTACTCTTAAGAACATGTTTATTTGATGCATTTTTTATTATTTTTTGCTTTAAAATAAATTAACTGATTTTTTAAAAATACTCAAAACATCATTTAATGCTTTGAGCGTTTTTAATAGCAACTGCCACTAGCAAACATGCTTTATTTAAAAGTAAAACATAAACAATAAAATGAAAATCAAAAAATAAAATACAAAACATAAAAGTGATCCCAAATGCCCCCTTAGCTTTACAATCTCTGTTCTCTTGGTGTTGAGTTGCTGCAAGAAGTTCTGTTTTATCACATTGCCGAATTTCGTCAACAGTTAGCACGTTAATGAGCAATTCAAAGTTCTACAATCTGAATTTTGTTGCCTATTTAATTGTGAATATAAAACTACAAATAGACTACTTGCTAGTAGTTTGAAGTTTATCAAACTGACCTAAAAATACTATTTTCATTACATGAATACCCACACTGATGACCATATTTTAAGATGAAATTAGCATAGCTTGATTCAAGAAAAGAGATGAGCATATTTTTACAAACTTAAGCTTATACAAGCTTTATTCAAGAAAAAAGATGAGCATGTTCATACTTATAAAAATGGATGTAATAGAACACAAAATTGATTATTTTCTTATGAGAAAAAGAGATCGTCGAGAATGTAAAGATTATGAGATCATTCCAAGTGAGGATTTAAGTACTCGACCTCGATTATTAGTTTTAGATTTTAAGATGAAGAGTTGTAAAATAAAAAATACTATGAATCATTGTCATAGAATTAAATGGAGGCACCTAAAAGACACAAATAAAATTATTTTTATGAGTAAACTTAGAGATTTCAAGATTTGAGATGTTCATAAAGAAGCAAATTATATGTGGGATAAGGTAACAAACAATATAAAACAAGTGACAAAAGATATAGTTAGAGAATCAAAGGAAAAAAATTTCTATAAATAAAAATAATTGGTGGTGGAACAGTAATGTGCGAGGAAAAATAAAATATAAAAAGTTATATTATAAAAATTAGTTTAAATGTAAAAGCATGATAAGTGAAAAAATATAAAATGACTCGTAGGGAGTCTAAGAGAACAATCTGCGATGTTTTAGTGATATTTATAATTGATTAGTTATTAAAGTAGGTGAAAAAATACATGTATAAACTAGCTAAACAACAGAAAAAAAGTAAAGATTTAACTCAAGTAAAATGTATTAAAGATGAAAATCAAAAAGTGAATTTCTTAGAAAAAAAATATTCAACATAGATGGGTATGTTATTTTTATAAATATTTTAATGAATTTCTGGAAATATGATCGAGCTTAGTGATCTTAATTTCGTTAATAATAATAAATATTTTATTTTTACGTTGACACCAGTAAAAAAGAAGTTGAGGAGTTTTAAAAAAAATCAATGATGGAAGTCTATAGGACCTGATGATATCACATTTGAAGTGTGGAAATATATAGGAGATTTGGGGGTTTTTTGGCTTACTAAACTCTTTAATATTATTTTAAAAACTAAAAAGATGCAGAAGTGGAGAAAGAGTATTGGTCCCCATTTTTAAGAATATAAGGGATACACAAGAGTGTACAAATTATAGATTAATTAGGTTGATTAGTCATACTTTAAAATTATGGGAGAGAGTAGCTAAACATAGGTTAAGACGTATTACAAAGATTTCTCATAATCGATTTGAATTTATGCCAAGAAGGTATACTATTGAAGCTATACATTTATTGAGAGGTTTGATGGAGAAGTTCAGAGAGAATAAGGTGAATCTACATATAATTTTTATTGATTTAGAAAAGTTTACGATAAGGTTCCAAGAGATATCCTTTGGAGAGTTCTATAGAAGAAAGTTGTTGAGATAACTTATATTTAAGTCATTAAAGATATGTAAACTAGAGCTATTACTTGTGTTGGAACAGAAGGAGGATTGATCAAATATTTTTCTACTTCAGTTGGATTACATCAGGGATTGGTTTTAAGCCCATATCGTTTTACTTTAGTTAAGGATGCTCTTACTGCACATTTACAAGAGGATGTACCTTGGTGTATGCTTTTCATTAATGATATCCTTCTCGTGGATAAGACGAGAGAAAAAGCTCAAAAAAAATTTAAATTATAAAGGTCTAAGGTCGGTCTACATTGGAGTCTAAAGGCCTTCGTTCAAGTAGAATTTAAATCGAATACATTGAATGTAATTTTAGTAGCAGTAGCTCTAGTGATAGAGTTATAAATATGGGTGATCAAATTATTAGGTGTTAACGCTTTAAATATCTCGGGTCTATTGTTCAAAGTGATGGTGATATAAATGGGGATGTTATTAGTAGAATTCAAGTTGGTTGGTTGATTGAAGTGGAGGAATGCTACGGGCCTATTGTGTGATAGAAAAGTATTGCTTAGACTAAAAAAAAAATTATAAGATGGGGGTGAGACATGCAATGCTCTATGGCGTTGAATGTTGGCCTTTAAAAGAGAAGCATAAATATAAGTTAAGTGTTGTCGAGAAGAAAATGCTTAGGTGGATGAGTTGCTTTACACATAGAGACAAAATGTGAAATGAATAAATCTGTGATATGGTTGGTGTAGCTCCAGTGGAGGATAAAATTAGAGAGAGTCGTCTTAGATGGTTTGGTCAAATTAAACGTCGATATTAGATGTTTTAGATTCGACTTATGTTAAGAAAGGTAGAGGTAGACCTAGAAAGACTTGGGCATATTGTATAAAAAATAATCTTAATTTATTAGAATTAAATGAAAACATGGCACTCAATAAGACGAATGGAGAAAAATGACTCAAGCAGTTGACCCCACTTGGTGGGATAAAGGTTTGATTTTGTTTTTGTTGAATACCCGCACCCACATTTACTTTTAAGACTATACAAAACTCCAAATGTGAATCAAGTCAAATTAGAACAACAAGCAAGATATCTTGTGCATTAGAATTAATTAATAAAACATAATAGGAATCGGGACAGTGAACAAATCCAATGCCCAATGCTTTCATGGGGATCAAAGAACCCATCTGAATTTCCAAAAAAACATAATAAAGACAAGAAATCTTGGTTTTCTTCATATATAACTGTGGTCGTAAAACAAGATTTATGACTACCAACTAGAAGCTTGAAATTAAAATACTTTCAAACCGCAAGTGAATCAAGTCAGATTACAACCACAGGCATCATAGATCATGTATCTGTGATAATCATCATCTTCTTCCATCAGCGAGCAGCAGATCCATCCTTCCCTTGCAGTGAGCCCACCCAACCCTCCCTCTCCGGCTCTGGCAACATCTTATAGCCTAAGACAAGTTCTTGCTCTTCCCTTCTTCTCGTCTCCATTTTTATTTGGTAGAGAAAGTTTAGGAAAGCGGAGAAAAAGAACACACAAGGGAGAAGGCATGAAAGGTCTTTCATCCGCACCTAGAGATTACGTCTTATTCAAGTCGCAATTCCCCCTCCACAAGATCTCCGTAAGAGTTAACTCGTGTGCCATTTTCCTACCTCCAATCTCACCTATGCACATTTAGAAAGTTGAATAAGCATATGTACGTGAGTGATTTGTTGAATTAGGCATGTGTTGTGGTGCTAATTGTTCATTGGCACTATTGTCGAGTAGACCTACTATAGTTTCCGCCATAAAATGCTTCAGATGAATTTGGGCACATCTCCTCCATCCACTCGACTAGCATAATTGTGTCTTTTATTGAGCAGGGCACAGTAGAGGAGGTTAGCGGCGATGAGGCGGCTGAGAAACAGGGAGAGGTGTATCATCTCCCACCGGTAGATGCTCAAGGCTCGACAGGTCCTACAGACTGACGATACAAGGGATTTACAGTGACTTCGTCGCAATATATTCTACACTCACTGCACTATAAATGGGAAGGTGTGCAGCCTCATCATCGATAGAGGGAGCAATAAGAACGTGGCACCTACGCAGATGGTAGAGAAATTAAATCTCATGACTCAGAGACATTCCCAATTGTATTCCCTGACATAGCAGAAGGAGAAATATATTTGTGATAGGGTTGGTGTAGCTTCAGTGGTGGACAAAATTAGAGTGAGTCGTCTTTAGATAGTTTGGTCACATTAAACGTCAACCATCTGATGATCCAATTATGAGAGTAAATGCTTTAGATTCAACTTATGTTAAGAAAAGAAGAGGTAGATCTAGAGACTTGGGCAAAATTATCTTAATTTATTAGAATTAAATGAAAATATGACACTCAATATGATGCAATGGAGAAAAAGAATTCATGTAGTAGATAAAGATTTGTTGTTGTTGTTGACTCGGAGGCATTCCCAACCGTATTCCCTGATATGGTTGAATAAGGAGAACAGGATCGGCTTTGACCGAAGGTGTTTAGTGAAGTAAAGTTCTCAATTGAGAGCTAGCTACAAAATTAAGTGTGATGCGACGTGGTCCCCATGGATGTTTATTAGCTTTTGTTGGGGAGGTCGTGGAAATTTGATTGTAGAGCTTAACACGACAGATTCAAAAACACCTACTCTTTCACCAAAGATGGGAAGTGCATTGTCCTTCTCCCTTCGACGGAGCCCGAAAGCACAAATGCCCTTGCCAGCAGGGCAACATTGGTGGGACAAATTTTAGTGATGAAAGAGGATAAGAGGACTGAGACATTAGCTCCAGGCACACGACAATCACGACAAAGAGCATTTCATAATATCGCGGTCGATAGCTTACTACCATGGTCATCACCATTTTGTGAGGTTCAGGTTACCCTCACTTCAAATCAAATTAAATCGATCCTGGATTACTATGGGAAAATTTAGCAGTCTATGCGTGACACACAAACCCAGTTCAGCTCAGCAGTGGACCCCCAAAAGCTTGGATTGATATGGAGGTGTGCTCTCAAGTAGAGAAACCTTCTCTAGTGTTTTTGGAGTCAGTGGAGTAGCCAGTGGGATCCACGTGCTCCTCGGGCCGCAGTCAAAGAAACGTCAGCCCCGAGAGGTTCTAGCTACTCCGTCGCCATCAAAATGCAGACAGAAGCTTCGACAATGAGTTTGAAACTTATCTGACCCCGGGAGACAAAAGCGGGAGCATCTCCCATGTATGAGTGGGACGTGGGAGCGTCTCCCATGTATGAGTAGGATGTTGGAGCGAGCAATGCATCTCCTGCAATCACGTGAAAATCGAACCGAGCAAGATTTTTTTTGTTTCCTTTCCAATTTTAACAAGTTTCGTCATTTCATTTCATTTTTTTTTAGTTATTTCCTATATATGTCGTGTATTAGAGTTTAGAAAGGAATTCTTAGCTGAGATTTCTATCAGGACAGTCGTCGGTTTCTAGGTTTTCCCTTTTAGGGTTGTATCTGTATCTCGTCTGAGGTGGTGACCTTCAAGAATTTAAATGGTGCTCCGACTGCAGCCCAATCCTGCAAAATTATTTATCACATTTAACTCTCTGAAACCCTATTCCAGCCACCACCTCCCCCCTAGCTGGGTTCAGTCCCCGGACAGCCCACCCTTTGTGTCTCGTAACCCACCTTCGCCATCACCATATTCGTTGCAGCCACTCGGTAAACACCCTCCTCATTGTTTTCCTACAACCGCCTACCACCTAGCTCCCTCCCACCTTGCTGCCATCACTCACCGTCGCCTTCTAGCACCCAACCAACCTCTTTCATGGGGTGTCAATCAGTTAAATAGGTTGTCCTCTTTCGAATGGGTTGGCTGGCATTGGAATCATCATTCAAAATGATCAAAGAGAGCTTATTTTGGCTATGGGGTGGAAACTGCTCCATTGGAATAGTGCTCAAGTGGAAAAGCTTGCAATCTCTCACCTAAAATAGCCATGGGAGGATTGGAAGACAGAATGTCTTGGAGTTATTATTGAGAGCGATAACTCCAATATTCTGCATTACTACCAGAACAAAATGGACAAATGGAAGTGGTAAATTGTGGCTCCAGATAATCCGAACATTAACTTTTTGTGTAATTTCAAACAGTCAGTTTTCCAACACACCTTCAGGAGCAACAACAGGGCCGCTCATTCTTGTGCTACCATGGCTATGGATGGAGATTTTCTTTTAACACATTTAAATATTTTTTATCCTCTTTATGTTTTTTTGCAAGAGGATATAACGCATTTTGTCAATGTCCGTGCGACATAATTTGTTTTTTTTATCCTTTTTTTTTAATGCATTAATGCAATTTGCACATTTCAAAAAAGAAAAAAAAACCAACCCTTTTCCTACCACCTCTGTGCTATCCCAGCCTCATGGAATCCCTTCACCCACATCCTAGTAGTTGTTCCAGCCTTGCGTAACCAGCTCCCTGCCACTTAATTGCTGCCCCAGCCCATACAACCCCCCAGCGCAGACTACATCCCACAACCTACTTCCTGCAATCACCAACAATACCCTTCTCTTCTCGGTCGCACCAACAACCAGCTCACAACCACTTTCACCGGTCACCACTCCTGAGATCCGCTTTAATTAACTTCGTTCGTGTTGTATGTTTGTTGTAGTATTTAATTTCCGTTGTAATCCTGTAACCATTTATTTGCTTTGAATAATAATATTTATGTTTTCATTGTAGTGTCGGTTAACTCCGCTATCACGATGAGAATGAATGATGTGATGATATAGGTTTCAATTAGAACTAAGTATATTTAAATAGCTGATTTTGCATAATTTTCAATTGTTGTATCCTCAAAATTTTGCATTTTATATATTACATTGTAGTAAACGGAGATAGTGAGGAGAATACACAAAATCCTTGGCGCTTGATTGCGAGCTTTTTTTTTTATATTTTTAAGACCATGTTTATTTGGTACATTTTTTAAGAGTTTTTTTACATTTTGTTTTTAAAACAAATTAACTTGTTTTTTTAAACACTCAAAACAACATTTAATTTTTTGAGTGCTTTTAAAAACAACTGCCATTAACAAACATGTTTTATTTAAATGTAAAACAAAAAAACTAAAATAAAATATAATATAAAATATAAAAAATAAAAGTGATCCCAAACGCCCCTTAACTTTCCATTCTCTGTTTGGTGTTGAATTGCCGCAGCAAGTTCTGTCTTATCACATTGCAGAATTTCTTCAACAGCTATCACGTCAATGAGCTATTCAAATTTCTGCATCTCTGAATATTGCTGCCTATTTAATTGTGAAGATAAAACTTCAAATAGACTACTTGCTAGTAGTTTGAAACTTATGCAAACTCAAACCAAACTCAAACTGACCGAACACTACTATTTTCATTACATGAATACCGACACCCAAATTTACTTTTAAGATTATACAAAAATCCACATGTGAATCAAGTCAAATTAGAACAACAGGCAACCTATCTTATGCATCAGAATTAAAATCGGCATAATTAAAAAAACATAACAGGAATCGGGACAATGAACAAATCCAACGCCCTATGCTTTCGCGGGAATCGAAGAACCCATCGGAACTTCCAAACAACCCTAATAAAGACAAGAAATCTTGATTTTTCTTATTAATTAACGGTGGCCGTAAAACTAGATTTATGATCAACAACTAGCAGCTTGAAACTAAAACACTTTCAAACCGCAAGTGAATCAAGTCAGGTTACAACCACGGGCGTCATTACTAATAAATCAGAATTGCAAATGAAACGACAAACAGAATTGAATCACAATAGTGCCAATGAAAAACCAAAACTACAGCAACGCATGCCTAATTCAACAAATCACTCACGTGCATAAGCTTATTCAACTTTCGAAAAGCGCATAGATGAGATTGGAGGTAGGGCAATGACACACGAGTTAATTCTTACGGAGATCTTGTGGAGGGGTACTTGCGACTTGAAGAAAACGTAATCTCCAGGAGCGGATGAAAGGCCCTTCATTCCTTCTCCCTTCCGTGATCTTTCTCCCCGCCTCCTCAATCTTCCTCTACCGAACAAAAAATGGCGATGATGAGAAGAGGGGAAGAGCGAGAGCGTGCCTTAGGCTAGAAGAAGGCGGCGGAGCTGGAGCGGGAGGGTCGGGTACACCCACTGCCAGGGAAGGATGGATCTGCTGCTCGCTGATGGAAGAAGACGAAGAAGATAATGATGAGCACTGAGAGTAATAGAGCAAAATTGATGGTTGAGAACCCGGAGCGTGCATTAACTACGTGGTCTGATAATCTTACGTCGGGAATTGACATCATAAAATAAACAATCAAAACTTATTATTTGTCAAAGAAATATTTATTAAATTTTAATTCTTTGTCTTTCTTTGATTAATCAATATAAATAATATTTAATAAGATTTAGAATTTAGGGCTCTATTGGGGCAGCTTATTTGATACGATGAGTTTTGAAAACTCATATAGGGGCGTTTGTTTCAAGCGATGCGGGAGTTTATCCTAATAATCCGTAACGATTTTCTATTAAACGCGCCCACGGGTTCAACTTCGTGGCCCACATTCATTCGTGTAATAGTTACCTTATTACCCTCGACCTCATCCCTCTCTTGAGTCTGATCTGCCCTAGCGTCGTTCGCTCTCGTGAACCCTTGGGTACTCTCTCTCGCGCCTCTTTCTCCCTCACACATAGCGTTCCCTTTCTCCTCTTCTCCTCCCTCTGATCTCGGGTTAATGTAATTATTCTTGTGGTCATTTTTTAAGGAGTGGCTTTCTTCATGCGATTTGTGGCTTTCTCTATTGATGGGGTTTTTGAGGTTGGTTTGATGTTTTACTTAGAATTTGATGAATGGATGAAATAGGGTGCTTGTCTTGTTTAGGAGCATTGCTTCAGGTGCTAGAAACAACTGTAAAATAGTTATTTTACAACAGCACAAAATAAACAATCAATCAGCTTATCTGTATCAGTTGTCAATCAGCAATTTATTTGGATCAGCAGCTTATTAATAAGCTACAGCTGCCCAAGCAAACCTTTAGTTAGATTTTATTCACAAAGAAAGTTAAAAACTTCTGAATTAATAGTAAATAAACCAATCATGATTTCACACCACAATTAAGTATTTTTGTACTATAATTTCAAGAGCTTGTGTGAAATATGAATCAATTGATCCTATTTTCATTGCTCTCATTGATTATTCTCATGCAAGTTCATTGCAATTCTCAATCTTAAAGCAAAATTTAAGGGTTATGAATTTAATTATAACAAGGTACACTTAAGATATATATAGCAAAGGATTAAGAGAGATTTACACGCATACCACACATTTCTTAAGTATTTGCATATCTAGCTCCTAAAATATAATTTTTATTTATATAACATTTGAGGACCCGGCCACCTCGAAATATATGCATGAAAATGTGTATTTTATTTCGAAAAGCTAATATTTGTAGTATTTTGTATGTATTTTTTATGTGTTTTTTATGTGTATTTTATTCATTTGAGTATTCTACCACCTCAAAGAATTTAGGGAGATGTAACCTCTTCATAATTTAGGAGAATATATATATATATGTGTGTGTGTGTGTGTGTGTGTGTGTGTGTGTGTGTGTGTGTGTGTGTGTGTGTGTCACAATGTAGTAATCATTTTTTTTCATGTACATATTAGTTGAATGTTATGTATGATACTTGAAAAGATAGTTGAGGAAGCTATAAAATATAGCCTCCATCGCCATCATTATTATCGTGTTCATGTTGCTCATAGCAATGCTAATGAAAATGAGAGGTTTCATATGCTAAAGCTCATAGATGGGGCAAATTATTCCATCAGGACTACGAATGTAGAGAGTCATTCGGAGTCCAATGAGATGGAGACATGTGGCAACATTGGACCCACCTCAAAAAAAACGTGCACTCAGCTGGCCGGCCCAACCCAAACCCAGTTCGCAAAAAGCTTTTTCACGTATTGTCTGGCAATTTTTCTTTCCCGCAAGCAGCTAAGCACCTACTGTTCCATTTGTTTAGAGTTTACGTCTTCCATGGAGTCCTTGCCGAACAACGAAATAATGGATACAGTGCAGCCTTCATTTTCTCTGAACTTTGAGTTCTTAAAGGGTTTAGGTTTTTGTTAGCTCAGGGTTGCGTTATTGTTGTATGATTTGTGTGATAATGATGTTATTTTGATAATGCATGGCTTTCTTAATTTTTTTTTCGGGTATGTTCAGAATGAAGCTAGGTTTTACTTTTGTTTTGTTGTTGTTTAGGGGTTTTAGTTTAGTGTTACTCTTATGCAAGCTTGCTAGATTTTACAGTATTATTATGGTGTTACACCGAGTTACTTTCTTTTTGTTTGGTTCAGTGTCTAGGGTTTTCAATGTGGTATAATGGTGGTTTTATTCAACTGTAGATGGTAATGGTAATATGGTGTATTTTGGTAGTTTTGTTGTTGAGTTATTTAAATGTTTTATTGTGTTATTCTTTCATTATTGTAGTGTTATGTTTGGTTTTAGTGGTGCTACTGGTAGGTTTACCTTGTGTATTATATTGATTGTTATTGTGGTGTTATTTTCTAGTTTGCTTGTGGTGTTGTAGAATGGCATCAAGCTAGTGTTATTCTTGTGCATTATTGTAGGTTTTACTGCATTATTTAAGTGTTATTCTGGTGTTATGCTGAAGTTACTCTGTTTTTTGATATTAGGTTTTAGGTTTGTTCATTATGATAGGTTTTACTGTAATATTCTAGGTGTTTTTGGTGGTTTTGTTACAGCACAGCAGATCGAATTGTTAATATGGTTGTTATTTGTGGTGTTATGATGGTGTTATTATGGTAATACACTGGTGTTATGAACGTTTTTGGTAGTGATATTGTGTTATTCTTGCTTTATAAATGTGTTGTTATTCACTTTTTGATAAAGGTCTTGATGAGATATATATAAATGTGTAGTCATGTGAGCAAAGAACTATTTGCACTGATCCAATTGTTGAGAAGTTTCTTAGCACCATCGTCCACAATGAGCAAGAAGTTTATGAAGTCTATTGTGCTTATGCACATCATGTAGAATTTAGTGTTCGGAAGGACCACAGCATTTATTAGTCGAATTCTAAGAAAAGTAAGTCCAAAGATTTCCTTTACGCAAAAGTTGGTCACAAGGAGTCTAACTTTATGAATACAAGAAAATACAAAAAGGCAGACACAAAGACTGACTGTCAAGCCATGGTTCGCTATGCAGTTGATCTAGAAGGCAACTGGACAGTACAAAAATTCATTGAAAGTCACAACCATCCTTTGGTTGAATCTGGTGATAAGCATCTTCTTCGTTCCAGTAGAAGGATAAGTGACCTAAATGCAGATGTGTTAAGATCGATGACATGAGCAAGGATTAGAGCAACAGATGCATATAACTTCATTACTCTTGAGGTTGGGGGAGCAGAGAATTTAGAATGCACGAAGAGGGATGCATTCAATTTCATTCAAAGAGAAAAAAGAGAAAAAATTGAACAAGGATATGTCAACTCTCTAATAAAGTTGTTCATGCATTCAATTTCATCTATTATTCTTTCAGGTGACTTTCTCTGTACAGTTGCATCTGTTAGTGGAGTAACCTCATTTATTCTACTATCTAAATCAATGTGTGGGAGAGCTCCCAAATGATGTTCCTGAACAACATCAATTCTTTTCTTCCTTCTTTTTAATTCGTATTTGAACTCCGGTGAACCCACTGCCCTCCTCCTTTTCTGGGTAGACTTAACACTTCGAGCAGAGGATCTGTGGGTTCCGGTTGTATGTACATCAACTTCCTTATCTGTTTTGGTTCTCTACAAAATTTTGACCATAACCGTTAAGTTTTGAATGACTCGCACACGCATGCCATCTGTTGAGTCATTTTTTTCATGCTTTCATGTAATGCAATATTAGACCTTTCCCAACCTTTTTATAGGTCGATTATTATTTCAAATTCTTTATTTCTTGTTGGACATGTCACTTGCATCTTGCTGGAAACAAGTGGTCTGACACTGTGGGATAATTGTGAAGATGGCCCGACAACTGTTTCTTGATGTGTGACAACCCTTACAGGAATTGGTTGTCCTTCTTCCGGGTTGGAGAGTAAGTGTTGCTCATCCTCTTTTAAATCAATGAAGAAATCATTAACTTACAAAACCATTAAAAATGTGCATATTATCGATGAAATGAATGAATAAATAAAGCATTAAACTTTGCAATAAACAAAATGTTTAACCTTTGCATGAACAAGTTTTTTGAAGGACTCGTGAATCTCAATTGTTGTTCTACCATGATTTATTCGTCATCTTAGCATGCGAGGCCTAGCCTCTGGAACATGAGAAGCAAACACAAGCAAACACAGAGGTGTGCTCATTAAAATCATAGCTGATTATGTGTCATATCAGAAAGAAGAATGTCAAAAACAATAAAACTCCAAATAACCTCAGAATGTATATTAATTTTTTGGATAAGTTAAAATAAAAACAAAACCCTAGATATATCCAAATGATTGATTTCTTCTTCATTTATTGACAACGATGCTCACTTGATCGATGATTAATTCACAAATGGCAGCGGACCACTTAAAAGAAGAAAGCCCCTGTACATTTTCAGTAAAGGCAAGAAGTCTCGCATGCACACTAAAATTGCTCGAGGGGAAAAATAAATTCGTTAGTAAAAACTTCAAGTATAATTGCTCAAAGGAAATGGAAGAGCCTCCTTCAGAAAAATTCGCCAGTTGGTCCTTTATTTGTCGAGCATCCACACCATACGAGGGGGTTTTCTTCCACGCAACTGCCTCCCTCTATTAGGCATACCTAATATAAACGTCAAGTGGTCATGGTGCAATTTTACTTCTTTCCCACGCATTCTGAACAACCTCCTCTCGTTATCCCAACATCTCAAAATGTGTAATGTCAACACATTGTCCTGTGGATATGGAGGCATATCAAAAATGTGGAAGACATTCATTTCTCTTAAAGAATTCATCGTCTCCTCCGACAGGAGATGTCGGACACTATCCAAAGCACCCCTTACTGCAGATGGACGTCGTCTGCAATTGAATGTCCTTGCATTCATAAACCTACAAAGGAAAGACATGAAATCAATATATTACATATACAACTTTAAAACACCATATGAAGGAAATATAGGCATTTGTAACTCAATAACACACAATAACACTGAATAACACCATAATAACACTCAATCACAAAAGTGTTATGCAAGGACATTCATGG